AAAGAACTTGAATGCTTTACAGAATTGAAGCAGTCACAGCATGGGTCCTGTTGCTGCTGCTATTGTTTGGACAGCAAAGACAGATTGTTGTACAACAGGATGTGAGGAAAATGCACTGTGACAGTTTGGATGGAGAGTGAGAAAAGCAGAAATAAACATGGAAAGGCAGAAGAACTATGAAAAGTGGGGAGATGTATTCAAATGGTGAGATGGAGATGTTTTCTTTGGTCTGAATTTTAAAACGTGACTCGAAAGTGGCTGCAAAAGGCCGAGACCTGTGAGGGAAAATCAAACTCAACCTAAATATAGCTCCTCTGATCTGCGATGATGATGCCTGTTCTGCTGTGACAGGGCCTAAGGCTTCTCCGCTTCTGTGAACTCTCTCACCACTGGTCCTGAGACCTCTTCCCTCTGCTCCAAAAACTGCCCCTAAACACACACATCTGGACACACACGGAAAACACTCAGTGGTTTAGCTAAAGATGCAGACAGTAATCAAGTGCTTGTGTATTCAAAAACACCAAATAGCTGCACATGTAACTTTACTACTGTCACTGATTGTTGTTAAGGAAACTGAGGGTGGTGGTTTCACACACCTTTTACAAATCCTAGTTTGGTCTATGTGCTCAATTTAAATGTACATTTCCTCCAAAATACAAGTTCTGAACACATTATTATGAATAAATTATTTGTATATGCATAAATTATGTGCTCTGAAAAAATCCTAAAAAGCAGTTGCACTAATAGGTGCCACCACAATTTGTATGTATATGTATATACATATATATAATAATGTGCAAATAAAACAAAACATGGAATTTGACGTGACCTGCAGGTGAAGTAATACTTTTTCAGGGAAAACTTGCAGCGGGAAGCGGGTTGGAAGGAACATCTAATGGTAATACACTCATAGTTAAATCAATAAAATATATCAAGGGAAATCACTTTGCACTTCTTACAGATGGATGTTGGCAGCACGCTCTCCAACAAGAACAAATATTCACAGTATGGACCACGCATAGTAAAACAAACACCTCAGCTGGTAATTTCACAGATGAAAATTTTAACCAGTACAAAAAACTCTCAGCTCTTCACTGCAGATACAACAGGGGCGATATTGGTTTGCAGCATCTGTACCAATGATTCTGTAAGACTTCAGTACTAATTCTCTGTTCCTTTGTTTCTCCTGTGTCTATAAATATTTGCTAGTTTGCACTAATTTCTCTATTCCACATCTCTTATTGATTGTGACGGCCTAGATTGCAGCCGCAAAGTTCTCAAATACAGGTTTTACAGAAAGTGGCATATTGATTTTCTCATAACAAACCATCTTACCTGTATGGCCTCTAAATCTGATATTGATGCGTGTTGTCAAATGTGTGTTGATCTCTGTCACACCTTCAGCACTTAATTCATACCAGATTAAGTTTTACTTTTGTCTTCACACTCACCCATCTACCTCCATCCTTTACAAAAGCCCATAAGCCAAAAATCCCATTGTTTATTCTCAAACACACACACACACACACACACACACACACATATATATAGACACATGCAGATAGACACATGCAGAGACACTTTTATATTTGGAATTTCTTATTTTTTTGTAATCCACAACTAAAGCGTCTTTACTCAAAGGGAATGTAATCCAGTTCTGGTTTTGCCAATTTACCAAAGAAGAAAAACTGCAAAATCCTGTGGGATCTTGGTGTAGTTGTATGTATAAAACAATAGCCTTATCTTCCAAAATATGAAATTCAAATAAATTGTTTTATTGTCAAAACACTTTAAACAGTGCATTACACAGTTATGTGGGAATCCTTCCCTTAATACACTGGTAAACACTGAAGAGCTTTAATTGTCATACAGTATAGACATAGCATTGTACTGTAGAGCTCAAATGTTTATTCCCAATAATGGTTAAGAGCTCATGTGGAGAATGAGCACAACAGTATGTAATCCTCTCTGCTCAGCATAGACCACATGGGATTTGCTTTCTGCAGGGATTTAAATAAGTTTTTATATGACTTCCAATATTGACTATAAGCTTTTGTGTTAGTCCAATCTTTGAGTTGTACTTAAATTCAGTATCAAGTACAACACAAGTTGTCTTTGAGTTAGAGAAGATATTTCACAGCAGAGTAAGTACAGAAGTATTGTTCTAAATTAATAGTTTTTCCTTCAGATCCTCTACATAGAAGTATATATCAGACTATAACCATCAGATATAAGGTCAAAAAAACATTAACCTACATAAGATGAAAAGGCAAATGTATTTCATGTAACATTGACCTGGACTCCACATACACACACACCACATTTGTAATTTTAGATAGGAAAATATTAAAAGTTTTGCACGCATACAATGACACTAGACTATGAACGCCATACAAATAAAAATGAGCAACTTTTATAGAAGACAAAAAGAATATATTTCTGTGTCTCAAAGAGGTGTAAAAGAAAAATCTCTCAGTTGGACTACAATGTTGTAAACCCAGTGGGTCGTTTCTCTTGAATGGTTTCAATGTGTTTCAGTGGATGACTGCCAGGGCGAAAGGTAAGCGCTGTCGAACCAAACAAGCTCCTGCTCATGTGTGACAGGGGAGGCCGAGTGGAAACAAACCACGCATCAAGTGCAAACCTCTGACTTAAAAATAACTCACTAAGGTTTATATTATTTCTGTTCCATCCACTTAAAAGATCATGGGATATAAATCCAATTTCATTCAGATGAAACTAACACAGTAACAGCGCACAATAGGTCCAGGGATTACTTGGAGCCCCTCACAATCAAAAGGAGAACTGGAGGAAAAGAAAGGAGGAATATCATAAAATTTTTTTTAACCTCATGTAGGCATTATCTGCTAACACCTTTGTCGTTGCAGGTAGATATCACATTTGATTCCTCCCTACAACCGCCACTACAGTTTACTTGCCTAGAGTGTGCATTGTGTTCCCTGTGACTCCCTCCTATAAATGTCAACACACATCTCTGTCAGAAAAGAAGAATCTAGATACAATGCATCTCCACTCTGTGCTGTTATGGATAGCGGAGAGACTATGACGGCCCGTCACTTCAGGGGGGCAATCAGCCAATCAGATTACAACCTGGGTGATCCTGTTATGGTGTGTGCATCTGCTTGTGTGCATGAGCAGATGTGGTGTAACCCTGTGTGCACTGTACGTTGACCTTGGAGTGCCAGCACTCAGGATGTGACTCCACAAATAACTAACCAAACATTGATTACCACTAGCACACAACGCCGCACAATGGAGAGTAGAAAAAGGACAGGGACAGAGATATTGGCTGCACAGTTAACAGTTATTTCCCTGTCTCTCTCTGACTCTCTCTGACTGTCTTTCTCTCTCTGGCCATGCGCTTTGTTGCACTTTCCATTACTCGCAGGCATAGCAAATACAATATTGGTTGGTCAGTCAGTCGTACACTATCAGGCTGCCTCAACAGCCCTGTCATAAGGTATTTAAAAGCCATGCTTGGACCAGCGAGTTTGGACAAAAGACGTTAGTGAGGTCTAGTGAGCGTTTTTTGCCCCTTTTCTTTCCAGTTAACTGCTTTTCTCAAACCAGTTAAGGTGAAGGTTTACAATAACAAATCCATGTAGATATGGGAATGAACTCTTTGCAGTTCAGCTAATCTCATTAGTGTCTGGACCTAATGACTCTTTGTGACCATGTGAGGTCAGCTAGATAGAAGTAGGAAGCAACCAACCAAACATTTATTGTCTTCTCTTGACTTGATGTATCCTTTCTTCTTCCAACTACCAACCTGCAATCCTTACAGTCATATTTAAGGTCCTGCTGGCAGTCATTCCAAGGTCCCCTACAATGTTTACAGAGGCGTCCTCTCTAATTTTAGGAAGGCAGGCATGGCAGTAATGGAAAGTGACACTATCTAGCCAGCACTCTTCTTTGCTGGAGGGCATTTCAGAGCTGTGGCTTTAGCAGTAGCCACCCAGATGAAAAGTCCTGCGACCAAAATGTCCAGTTATTTCCACATGTACACAAGAAGCAGCATGATCACCAGCATACTTGAATCTTCTTTTTGTTTTTCGTGGAGCAGTGGCACAACAACAGCGGAGGATATGTTCGCTGTCGGCACTGTTAGCACCTGATGCCATGTTAGCACTACCAGTAGCAGTGTCACTACAGGGTCTGGAAGGACTCTCAGGTCACAGCTCTCTGGTAACTGCAGCCTCTGGGGATTTCTACATATCAATCAAGCAAGTGGGAAGACACAGTAATGAGTGTACAGTCATGTACTTTACTCAATTCAACCCCACCACCACTGTGCTTCAGGTTTGATATTGTTGCTTTATCTCAGATTTAATGTATGTTAACTAAGGAGGGATCTTTTCCTTTTCCAAATCTAACTGTATACACATTTGCTATTAATGGGAGTGTCTGACTGAATTGCTCGATTGAGCTATCAAGTTGGAGCAAAATTACCTCTCAATTTTCACTGGGATCTGTGCACCTACAAAATGTCACAATCACAACTGATACCAGTTGTCATCAACACATGTGTAGGAATACCAGGATGTATCAATGGCATTATTATTGAAAATTATATGAAATGCTTACAAATATATAACTACACTTTGTTCATAGACTTTACCTTTAAAAAATACCTTTAAATGAATCTTGTGCTGAAGATTTAAATAAAACAGTTTAAAGGAATCGAACTGAAACATGTAGTATTGTGATGGGCTTAGGCAGTGTAATACTATGTGAAAAAAGAGCAGCCTCTTCACTTATGTCAATGAGATCACTGAGTAGGCACAGTAGGGGTCCAGATGCAGAGGCTGCAGCTAAGGAATGGGGAAAAAATATAAAGAACATGTGAGGGGCTGGCCTGTAAATCCAAAGCACCGCCCTGTTAGGTAGAGTCAGAGGGAGCTCCCCGCCTTCATAAGGACAGGTGAGGGCAATTAGTGCCTCTTTGTCTGAGGCCTGGTTGTGTGGCAGGATTGCTGTGTCGTGCAGGTAAGGGAGAGAGGAGGAGGAAAATGTTATATTGCCTTATTAGAAATCTAATGAGATCTTTTGTATATTTAGTGGTGGTGACTGTCCTGAGTGATCCAGATGGAGCATGCTCTGTAGCCCTGTGCTGAAGAGGTATGTCTCAGTGAACTTTGGGGCTTCATTAAACCGTAGCTATATCACTAATATGATAAAATCTCTTTAGGCAAAGACTCAGCTCCTCCATCTCCCCTTTTAAGCCAGAGTAGAGCTTTTCAACTGTTGCATTGCTTCTTAGCAGAGCCCCACATGTACAAGGTAACTGAAACCAGTATGGTAAGGTAGGAGGGTCATGCCCTCTGAGGTATGTTGTTGTCAGCTGATGAGACTGACTTTTGTTATGTTTTCTTTCCCCTTATTGCAGATTTAAGGCCAGACTGCTGCTTTGCCTGAGCCAGTTCGCCAAGGCGGTTGGCGAATGTGTTACAGACTGTACAACTTACATAATCTGTAGATGGTTGAATATTGTCTTCTTTATATTGGGTGTAGTGACCCTGAATGTCTGTGAATCTGAACCAACTGAATCTCACTGTATTTTCCGTCTTTTGTTTGATTAGGCAGTGGGACGACCTGCGGGGAGTAGTCGTGGGATATGCACCCCTCCTTGCATGCAGTGTGGTATGTTTGAAGGGTAGTGGTCACGTCATTGGTTTGTAGGTTTGACTTTCCTTGCAGTGCAAGTTGTAGTGTTTGTAGTGATCAGTGTGCACACAAGGTGATTTCTATTGGGTGATAAAGTCTCCCCGTGGTGAGTACCCTGTTCTGCCTATCCCTCGCGATCATTTAATCTTATTGTATTTTATGTTATGGTGAAGCCATTTGCTATTTATATACTGGTTGTTTCGACCATTTTAGTATTGTGGAATAAACTAATTTTGACTAGTTTTATGGTTTCTCTCCTTTTTCAGGTCTGTTGCCAGTATAATTTATTTTTAATAAATATTATTGGAGAGTTGAATGCACGTCTCCCGCTTTTCTTGAACCCTTTAAAAATTGTGTCAACGCTCAGATGGTTGGTGTCTAGGGCTGGTATAATTCTATTCTGGGTATCGGTCCGCATTGTAACCTGGGTGGGGTCACAAACTGGCGCTGTGAGTAGGGTCTTAGAGCCCATAGACGTGCATTCAAATCAGTTGGTTCAGTGGAATGATTTTAAGTGTATTGTTGGATTGTATTAAGTGGATTGTATTTTTCTTTCTCTTTTAAGGCAAAGCAGCAGCTGGCAAGCTTATTGAAAGCTCTGTCCTGTCAATATTCAGTGGGCCTAACTTCATTCCCATGCCCCGTCTCCCTTAGTACAAGATGGACTCCTTAAATGTATCTCGGTCACAGTCAGGCCCCTCTAGCCCCCATGGGCAGTGTGACCCCAGCTCAGGGGAGGCCATTGCTCGGGAAAGATTAGTTTATATCCCTAGGGAAAGACCTTGTCCACTGTTCAGTGGCGTAGGTGAGATTAATATCCGGACCTGGGTTGAGGAAGTACAAGCTATCATGCGTGCCCGTAGACTTGCTACTATTGATAAGGCCCATTTTATCTATGATCATCTCATTGGTGATGCTCGTGAGGAGATTAAGTACCGGCCGCAGCAAGTGAGGGGAGACCCTGACTGTATTTTTGAGATCCTTCTGGCTCAGTATAGCTGTCCTATGTCTTTCATTGCAGTTAAAGAAGCCTTTTATGCTAGAAAGCAACAGGAGGGTGAGTCACTAAGGGAGTTCTCACATGCTCTGTTTTCTTTAATGGACAAGATGATCCAGAGTTGTCCAGACAAACGCATCCCTGATGCCGCTAAATTGCTGCGTGATCAGTTTGTAGAGTGTGTAGGGGATGGGAATTTGAGCCGGGAGCTTAGGAGAATGGCTCGTGAACATCCTGACTGTGACCTTCATGCTATTAGGGATGAAGCTATTAGGTGGGAACGTGAGGGCAGATCTGGGGAAGAACTAGGCCGACCCAGGAGTTATTCTGTCCCCTCAGTTTATAGCATGCAGCATGCCGGACAGGCTAGGGGTCAGAAAGATACTGTAGGGTCAGAGCTGGCAGAGCTTAAGGAAATGTTGAAGCAGCAACAGGCTCAAATTGATCAGCTTACACAAGGACTACGATCAAACCACACTTCAGTCAAGCCCAGACCCTTTCAGAAGAGAGGGCCACTCATCTGCAGACGGTGTCAAAAACCAGGACATTTTGCCAAAGACTGTGATAATGAAAGGGTCGTTGCTTCTGAACTTAGGGGGTTCTACTCAGGGTTCAGTCATCCAGCCCTCCCAGTTCCAGCAGTCGGAAAACTAGCGCCCTCTGTTATGCTGAGCCACATTTCAGATGGGGGCATTACTGGCTCCAATGGGGATATTCTACCAAATTCTGACCCCACACCCAACTTGGTAGGGTCCTGTCCAAAGGTCACCATTAGTATGGGGGGGGTGAATATTTCTTGCCTATTAGACACTGGGTCTATGGTCACCACTATTACCGAGAGTTTCTTTGCCAAACATTTTGAGACAGGGGGCCCAGAGAAGCTGAGGGCGTGCCACTGGTTACGGTTACGTGCAGCCAATGGGCTAGAAATCCCTTACATTGGCTATTTGGAACTTGATTTTCAAGTCTTAGGCAAGCAGATCCCCAGACGTGGTGTACTAGTCATCAGAGATACACCAGACGCCAGCCCCAATCCAGAAGTGTGTGGAGTTCTTGGCATGAATGTAATACGCGAGTGCTATAGAGAGCTGTTTTTGGAACATGGTCCTGCTCTTTTTGATCTTCCCCCAGTCAAGCAGAACCCTTGGCAGAAGGTTTTGCAGTTCTGTCACCGAGTCCAACCCCAGCCCGAACCACAAGTCCATGGCCCAGTCAGAGTTAAGGGCCGGCGAAAGATTCAAATCCCAGGCGGCACGATGAAACTGGTGCCCACTACCTGCAGAAAGGCATCTCCAGTTCATACGGGATCAGCCCTGTTTGAACCATTGGATTCAGGTTTGCCAAATGGTCTCCTCGCTTCCCCAGCTCTGGTCAAAGTGCTCAATGGTACGGCCTTCATTCCTGTAACCAATGTGGGGACTACAGACGTAATTTTACCTCCTCGGATTCAGATTGGCACCCTCTGCCAAGCCGAAATTGTCAGCCAACCAGAGAGCATCATTGAAACTATGGAGGAGGGGTCATCTGGTGAGCAGATCGTTACCATGGCAATGCAGAGTGTGACGGACAACCCCCTGTCATCTGCCATTGAAACCCTTGATTTGTCCACTCTTGCAGCTCAAGACCAGGAGAGGGTAAGGTCCCTTTTACATGGCTATCAGTCTGTTTTTTCTTCCCATGATTGTGATTTGGGGTGTACAAATCTGATTGCTCATGAAATTCCTCTTCTAGATGAGACACCTGTCCGCCAGCGGTATAGGCGTATTCCACCCTCAGAATATGATGCTGTCAAAGCACATGTTCAGCAGCTCCTAGAGAGTAAAGTCATCCGTGACAGTTGTAGTCCATTTGCCTCCCCAATTGTGGTAGTAAAAAAAAGGATTCTACCATTAGGCTTTGTGTTGACTACCGTCTCCTGAACTCTAAAACTAGGAAAGATGCTTTTCCCCTACCCCGAATTGAGGAGACTCTCGATGCTCTGTCAGGTGCCCGCTGGTTTTCCACATTGGATTTAACCAGTGGGTATAATCAAGTTCCTGTTGCTGAACCTGACAAAATGAAGACAGCCTTTTGCACCCCCTTTGGCCTCTTTGAATTTAACAGGATGCCTTTTGGTTTGTGTAATGCACCCAGCACTTTTCAAAGGCTGATGGAGAGGATCTTTGGTTTGCACAATCACCAGTCATTACTGCTTTATTTGGATGATGTCATTGTTTTCTCTGCCACAGTGGATGAGCACATTCAACGACTGGGAGCTGTGTTGGAGACCTTGCGGGTGCAGAACCTAAAGGCTAAACTAGAGAAGTGTTGCTTCCTAAAAACGGAGGTAAAGTACCTTGGCCATGTCATCTCAAAAAGTGGTGTAGCAACTGACCCTGATAAGATCTCTGTAGTGGCAAATTGGCAACCTCCAAAAACTGTCACCGAGCTGAGATCATTTCTCGGCTTTGCTAGCTATTACCGCCGCTTTGTCCAAGGTTTTGCTTCACTGGCTGCACCTCTTCATCGTCTAGTAGCCGAGATGGGTGGCACCAAGACTAAAAAGCCATCCAAACGCCCCCTCCAAGAATCGTGGACTGAACAATGTGAAACCAGCTTCCAAAATCTGAAAGCCAGGTTGGTGGATTCCCCTGTATTGGCATATGCAAATTTTTCACATCCCTTCATTCTGGAAATTGATGCCAGTCATTTAGGCCTAGGTGCAGTGCTTTCACAACAGCAACAGGATGGCACCGTGTGCCCCATTGCATATGCTAGCAGAGGTTTAAAGCCTACTGAACGCAATATGTCAAACTACAGTTCTATGAAACTTGAGTTCTTGGCCTTGAAATGGGCTATGGCCGAGAAGTTTAGAGAATACCTCTTGGGTCATAAATGTGTTGTTTATACCGATAACAATCCTCTAAGCCATTTGTCCACAGCAAAACTGGGTGCATTGGAACAACGCTGGGCTGCTCAACTTTCATCATTTGACTTTTCTATTAAGTATCGCCCAGGCCGCTCAAATGGCAATGCTGATGCACTGTCGCGCCAGTACGAACAGTCAGAGTCAATGGCACCAATTGAGGCTGTGTTGCCAGGCACCTCTCTTCCTGACACCTTACTCCAGACCAAAGCCATGCCCCATCAGCAGGTAACTCAATCCATTGTCTCTGTTTTGCCATCTTATTCATCTGCTGATCTTGCGGCTTTACAGAGAGACGACCCTACCATCGGTGTGTTCCTGAAATTTTGGCACAGGGGGCAGGTCCAAACCGACAGGAACGGACAAATCTACCTGCAACAGTACTGGAAATGTTGCGTCAGTGGAAGAAGCTGGTGGAGTGGGATGGTGTCCTCCAACGTCAGGTATTTCGGCTGGATGGTGGAGAGGCGACGCGCCAACTAGTGTTGCCACAAAGCTTAAAAACTGAAGTCTTGCATCAGTTGCATAATGATCATGGCCACCAGGGGCTGGACAGAACCCTCGAATTGGTGCGGCAGAGATGCTATTGGCCTGGCATGCTGAAAGAAATTCAGCATTATTGTCAACAGTGTGAACGTTGTGCCTTAGCCAAAGCAGTTTATCCCAAACCAAAGACAACAATGGGCCATCTTCTGGCCTCCAGGCCTAACCAGATTCTAGCCATGGATTTTACATATCTAGAGCCTTCTGCTGATGGCCGGGAAAATGTGTTGATTCTAACTGATGTGTTTTCTAAATACACACAGGCCATTGCTACCAGGGACCAAAAGTCAACCACTGTAGCCCGGGTACTGGTTCATGAGTGGTTCTATCGCTTCGGTGTCCCTGCTAGGATCCATTCAGATCAAGGGAGGAGCTTTGAAGGGGCCGTGATCCAACAACTGTGTCAACTGTATGGTGTGGAAAAGACCCGCACTACTCCATATCACCCACAAGGTAATGGACAGTGTGAACGCTTTAATAGGACATTGCATGATCTTTTGAGAACTTTGCCCCCCGAGCAGAAAAGTAATTGGCCCACCTACCTGCAACAGCTTACATTTGCCTACAACACCACTGTTCATCAATCTACGGGTGAACAGCCCTACTTTCTCATGTTTGGATTGGAGCCTCAGCTCCCAATTGACTTCCTGCTGGGAAGAGTTGAAGAGCCAGTGCACGGCCCTGTCCACAGCTGGGTACAAGATCACCAGAAACGCCTTAACGTTGCTTATGAGGGAGCCAGGAAACGGATGCAGATAGCAGCACATAAACGTGCAGAGCGGCATGCTGCACCAGCCTCTGACCCACTGCAATTACATCAGCTGGTGTTTCTCAGAGACCATAGCAGAAGAGGCAGAAATAAAATTCAAGACCACTGGAGCCCCACACCCTACCGTATCCTCAAAGTCCCTGATAATGCTGGTCCAGTGTATACAGTGGCACCCCTGGATCATCCGGAAAAGGTAAAACATGTTAATAGACAGTCCATCAAACCAATTCCCAGTAACCTTTGTGAAAACTTTAACAGGGATGCAGAGAGGACCACTAACCCCACCCTCCCCCTGAGACGCAGTTGAGAACGGAGGAGGATGGAGACATCTATGTGTGGCAACAACGTGAGCCTCCAAGAAGGAATACCTGCCACCCCCCACCTGTTGAGGTTGATCCACAGTTGGAACAGGCATCTGAGAAACCTGGTAATGTTGTGAATTCACAGTCGAGAGTCGATTTTCCACCGGGCCCCTTGATGGTAACAGTCACTTCCCCCCTCCCTCCCCCCAAGTGTTAACCCTAGAAGAACAACACGATCCACCGCGGGACATCACTCCAACATTCATCGCCTGCCACACCTGGGGGCTGCAGGACCCCCTAGTGTCAATTCGATTTTAGCCCTTCATAGGCCCTGGCTTTAAAAGTGCATTGTCGGGACGACAATGAAAAAAAAACAGGGGGTAGATGTGAGGGGCTGGCCTGTAAATCCAAAGCACCGCCCTGTTAGGTAGAGTCAGAGGGAGCTCCCCGCCTTCATAAGGACAGGTGAGGGCAATTAGTGCCTCTTTGTCTGAGGCCTGGTTGTGTGGCAGGATTGCTGTGTCGTGCAGGTAAGGGAGAGAGGAGGAGGAAAATGTTATATTGCCTTATTAGAAATCTAATGAGATCTTTTGTATATTTAGTGGTGGTGACTGTCCTGAGTGATCCAGATGGAGCATGCTCTGTAGCCCTGTGCTGAAGAGGTATGTCTCAGTGAACTTTGGGGCTTCATTAAACCGTAGCTATATCACTAATATGATAAAATCTCTTTAGGCAAAGACTCAGCTCCTCCATCTCCCCTTTTAAGCCAGAGTAGAGCTTTTCAACTGTTGCATTGCTTCTTAGCAGAGCCCCACATGTACAAGGTAACTGAAACCAGTATGGTAAGGTAGGAGGGTCATGCCCTCTGAGGTATGTTGTTGTCAGCTGATGAGACTGACTTTTGTTATGTTTTCTTTCCCCTTATTGCAGATTTAAGGCCAGACTGCTGCTTTGCCTGAGCCAGTTCGCCAAGGCGGTTGGCGAATGTGTTACAGACTGTACAACTTACATAATCTGTAGATGGTTGAATATTGTCTTCTTTATATTGGGTGTAGTGACCCTGAATGTCTGTGAATCTGAACCAACTGAATCTCACTGTATTTTCCGTCTTTTGTTTGATTAGGCAGTGGGACGACCTGCGGGGAGTAGTCGTGGGATATGCACCCCTCCTTGCATGCAGTGTGGTATGTTTGAAGGGTAGTGGTCACGTCATTGGTTTGTAGGTTTGACTTTCCTTGCAGTGCAAGTTGTAGTGTTTGTAGTGATCAGTGTGCACACAAGGTGATTTCTATTGGGTGATAAAGTCTCCCTGTGGTGAGTACCCTGTTCTGCCTATCCCTCGCGATCATTTAATCTTATTGTATTTTATGTTATGGTGAAGCCATTTGCTATTTATATACTGGTTGTTTCGACCATTTTAATATTGTGGAATAAACTAATTTTGACTAGTTTTATGGTTTCTCTCCTTTTTCAGGTCTGTTGCCAGTATAATTTATTTTTAATAAATATTATTGGAGAGTTGAATGCACGTCTCCCGCTTTTCTTGAACCCTTTAAAAATTGTGTCAACGCTCAGATGGTTGGTGTCTAGGGCTGGTATAATTCTATTCTGGGTATCGGTCCGCATTGTAACCTGGGTGGGGTCACAAACATTATCTGGAAATCTGAAAAATATCTGAAAAAGTAAATCTGAGCGATTACATAATTAACACCTTGTAACTTACACTGTACTTCTCTTTACCTTGCAATTATCAACCAGTGCTCACTCCTAAGTTGTAGTCAGGTGACGTAGTGTAAGAGTGAGAAAGTCTACAGGTGGCAGAGGTGGAGTTAATGTATGGCTCAATCAAACACAAGACTTTAACCCAGAGGGTCACTGTTTGTGTCCCAAGTAATGTAGGTAAGTTAACTTATGTAATGTACTTACAGTATTCATGTACTTAAGTTATGTAACTAAATAACTTACAATAACTTAACTAACAATGTTTTCAATGTATAATGCTAACTTGACCGTGGAGCTCTGAAATTATGCTAGAGTGGTGTAGATTCTACGGTACACACAGCGGCACCATTTTTACAACAGTGGTTTAAAAGGGCACATAACTGTGTTGGTGCAATCAATAAATTTTTGCTATCAAATTTGATTAATTATCAAATATAATAAATAATAACTTTAATTAATATTAAAGTTCCTCTGGGACTGCCTTAAGGGAAATTATAGCCAATAATTGATTGATTCAGTTTCATAAAATACACTAAACTATCGATTTCGAGACCGAATAAATAATTACATTAATAATTACAACCAAAGTCAATAGTGGAAGGATTTGGAATTCTGCATGGAAGAGGATGGTATCACCCACCCTAAATAGGCCAGCATGTATGAACACAAGCATTTATTAAAGAGATAATAACAGATGAAACACACAAATATGAAATTGAACTAAAAATGTGTGTGTTAGTGTGTGCGCATGGGGGATTGCATGCCAGAAAAGATGGGTGCATTTGCTCTCTCTATCCCTCTCTATGTTTCATCTGAGTATGAAACACATATTGGTCAGATGCAAAGGGCATATGAGGAGCACCAAGTTGGATTTTCCTGTCCACCTGTGAGGTTTAAAGCCGAATTTAGGTGTGTGTGTGTGTGTGTGTGTGATCTTAGATTGACGGTGCTAAGTAAAAAGGGAGTTATCTAAGTTAACATCATAACCATATTGAAAACACAGTCTTGTCCTTAGCTGTTAACACAGTTAACAAACTAAGTCTGTGAAAGCAGAGGGACGAGGAGTTGCTGATGTGCTGCGACCATCAGCTGGAGATCCTGTAAGCCAGGCTGGGGAAAAATTTTTCTCTACATTCAAAAAGTCTTGCAACGTCCGCTTGTGCAGGTTGCAGGAGGAAAGGTGTCTTGCTCCGTTGCTTTGTTTTGCAGAGTTAATGGCTCGGCGTTAACCTTCCTGACCGGTCACTATTGAACAAGTTCATATTTAATGGTCACCAGTGTCACAATTTGAAGTGGATTTCCACTGATTAAGCTGCAGTATTTTGCTTACTACTCACTCACTCACTCACTCACTGTACTTGGGTGAAAGAAAGTATTGCAATTATCAAGACAGAGGATGAAAGATGGATGCTGTGATATCCTTCAAAAGCTGTTTAATCCTTATACCCTCATGGATTTATACAGTAAAACACTATGCAGTGCTTCAGCATTTAAAAAACCTTAAGATTTATTAATGGTTTACTCAAACTGTCACCAACACACCCACAACAAATCAGGGTTCATCTGAAATCCTTCTTATTCACAAAACACTTACTTTATTCTAGCTCACAGCCAGTCTAGCTCTGGGTCAAGACATAAACGACATTTAGACTGATGGGAAAACGAGAAGTTCCATTCAATTTGGTAAGATATTTTGGGCGGGACAATGACAGCACATCCATTAGAAACCCACTCAAACACAGGAAAAGTGCAGGTAAAACAAACATTATTGTTTTTTGATGATGTGATATTTTGTGTATGATATACATTAAATCTCCTCTTTCTTGTTCCTTTAATTACTTTTAACTTTTAATCTTCTTACTTTTTAGGCGAGGCATGTAGTGTCAAACTCTATTGTTCTACCTTTAAAAGAGGTTTCTGTGTTTGAATTCAAACCTGAAACCGTCTTGCTGTGTAGAAATATTTCTAACCACCAGGCCACTGCACTGTTCTACGTCAAACACATGTTTTTGTATTTGATGTTCATCCTTTCTTTATTTTCAGTAAGGAGAACTGGGTATAGCAAGCCTGTGGGCAAGAATAAATTACCCCTGTATGCATAGATAAACATACCAAAGACTGATGATCATGATTCATCTTTCCTGAATCTTTGTTGGCACAGGTCCAATAGCCCAGCTGACTCCAATTTAATTACATCTATACATATATTTAGTCTAAGTTAATTAAACACATATTTGCTGAAAATCTATTTTCCCACAGGGAGGATATCATCCTATGAGACAACAAAAAACATAGAAATACATCCTGTTCCCATGGTGTACCTTAGAAGCAATCAAAGAAGGGTCAGACAGAAAACTGATTAGATCGGTGAAAGCAATGGAAGGGCAACACAAGATAGAAGAAAATTCAAAAGATAGGTTGAGGAAATCGACATGGAAAAATTCCCAACAACTATGACGGAGGCAGAAAACAAACCGTTCTCTGTGGTGAATTGTTACTATTTTAAAAAATAAGAGACATTTTCACCATGATATATGCTATTAGGATGTGATTCTCAGCAGAGGCAGAATGGAGAGACAGATTGTCTGCCCCTGCACTCTGGAAGGCCCTCGAGAAAGGACAGAAACAGACAAAAAAAAAAACGTTTTTAAGTTGTGTAACATTTTACCCCCATAGCGTTCATCTTGCCCTGTCCTTATGCTCAACTTAACCGTTACCCTGAGGTAAACTCCACCAAATGACCAATCTTTTTTAAAAAAATGTACTGAAAAATGAAAATTTAATTCTCAACTAAAATGTTCCAGTATTCACAATCTGCTGTTTAAAGGACCAGTGTGTAGGATTGAGTGGCATCTAGCGATGTAGTTGCAAATTGCAACTCACCGAAAAAGTCTCTTCATGCTTCCACGTTATTGTCGTGATGAAAGTTGCAATACGCTATGCGATCAGTGCGCCAGGTTATTTATGTGATCAGTGCGCCAGGTTATTTAAGCGTTGTGCAAAAACCCTCTTCATTGGATATGCTTTTAAATTCTGTTAAGTTTATTTTTAACCACACTCTTGTGCAAGATTTATACTACCTAATGTAAATTTTTGTGGGTCCTTTCAATGTAATTGTTGAGTAACAATCAGTCCTTCCAGAAAAATGTGATTATGCGATTGCATAATTCAATGCACAATCAGCCAAAGTCCGTATATTTATGCGGGGGCTGCATTTTTTCAAATACGCTGCACTTTCGCCGCATAAATTGCCGATTTCC